CCGCCCCCAAGCACCCCTGCAGCGCGGCGCGCAGCGACCCCTCGCGGTAAGCGCGGAGAAAGCGGCTGCAGGACTGGCGTCCGCAGAAACGTAACTGCACAATCAGCTGCGGCTCGCTGCGGTGGATCTTGAGCATCTGCAGCACGTCCGGGCTCCCGCCACTCTCTGAGGAGGCGGACAGTCAGGCGACAGGCGGTCCCCATGCGGGGCCGTTCTCCAAGCGGCCATAGTGGAGTGAAGCCCACGCAGACTCCCTCCCTGACCCTAGCTCCCAGCTGGGAAGCAAAATTGGGATGCACACAGCAACAATCCAAAATGAAGGCCAGAACCTACCACAGGGAGCACCCTAAGACGGAGTGGGTGCCACCCCAGCCCATCCTTGAAGCCCCAAATGAGGGTAGGCAAAAGGGACGTGGCGAGAGGCTTTGCAGTACAGAGAGGGGCGTGTGCCCAGGGCAGCCAAGCCTTCTGGGTAGGCGGCCCGCGGGGCAGCAGAGGAACAAGAGGTCTCAGGTCTTCGGCCTCTACCAACTGTGGCTCCCGCTGCCCAGGAAGGAGGCGGATCCCCCAACACGTTTCAGCTTCCTGTGGCCTCTGCCCTGAGATAGGAAAGCCCCCCCCCCAAAGGTAGGTACTGGGGAGGGGTCTTGGGCAAGGAGTGCTGCAGTGAGAGAGGAAAAGAGAGAAAGGCGTGATTAGTAGAAAGCAGTGAGCTGGCTGGTCTGGGGGCGGGCATCAAGCGGAGGTGGGGGCGTTAGTGTATACATAGGTAGATCATACACAGACACGGGGACACACGTCTACACCCAAGGGCACACGTGCGTAAACAGAGAAGACAGAGCCTATGAAACCAGACATCCTTCTCCTCTCCTCCCCCCTCGCCGTCAAATCTTTTCTACAACCTGCTGGTTAAGCGCAGGCCCACAGAGTTGAGGAGGTGGGGCCTCAGCCCCTGGTCCCGCCCACAAAAGGCCCAAGCTCCCCCCCCCCAGTACCCGCCCACCCACACACCTGTCAGTGCATTCCGCAGAGCCCTGTACACCGGAACCTTCTGCTGGGCGTGAGCATAGGCATCAGATAGGACCACCTTGTCCAGCGAGGACTCCACAAACAGGTATGCGCTGCCCACCCACTCGTCGAGCCCATTTGGCCCAGTCGCCATCTTGCCTCCTGGAGACGCAGATAGGCATCCAGATAACCCCCAACCCAGCCCTGGAGACAACAGTCCAGTCCTGCGTGGCTCAGCTGTCCCCACCCAGCTGGCACAATTGTGAGGGGAAGTTCATCATCTTACAGGCAGCCCCCTGTGCTTCTGAATCTGCACAGCCCAGCCCAGCCCAGCTTAGCCCAGACTTGCAGTGAGGACTGTCCCTCCACTATCTTCTCTGAGAAAGCCCAGGGTCACAGTGGCAGAAAAGGGGAGGTACTATCCTGCAGTGGTGGCAGAGAAGTTCTGCCCCCTCTTCGGGCCAGGATGTCTCTCTTTCAAAGCTGACAGGAGACATCCTTATCCTGGATGGTGCCCATTCCCCACAGCCAACGGAACCCATATCCTGGTATGCCTTCAGCTTAAATTTGAGCTCCCACGATCCCTTTGGGACAACAGCCCCCATTAGGTTTTCTCACCTGCATTCCTATTATATACCTCCTGGCTTCATTGCAAAGGACAACTGTAGTTTTCACCTGCCCAGGTTCCCTCTCCCACTCCTGACTGACCTTTGGGGTCTTCCCTCTTCTCAATCCATGTGCCTGTTAGGAGCGCTAACTCCACTCCCTAATTCCAGGTGTGCGCAAGTGAAATAGGCGGGCCAAACCTGCATATTCCACTCCCCTTTCTAAAGTGATTAGTTCAGAGTTGGGCATAAGATTTAGGTTGGACCAATCAGAATCAGCCTGCAACTGTGGCTGGACCAATAAGAGAGACCCACTAGACTGAGCTGGAAGAAAGGATAGGACTCCTCAGCCGCTGCCTAGAAAGAGCCTGGCTGAGAATAAAACTGACACAGAAGGATACAGAGCCAAGAGATGAGGAGGTGTATGCCTAACCATACTATGGCCCTGGCTCTAGCTGCACCCTGAACTTTCCAGTTATGTGAGTTAAATCATTCCTTTTTGTTCTAAAGTCCTTGGAGCTGTGCTCTTGTCTTATGCAACTCAAATTGTTCTATTACAGATTTCCTCCCTGTGCTTGTATCTCCTCTATCTATCTTCTGACAAAATCCTAGCCCTAGACCAGGGGTCGGGGAGAGGGCAAAATTCCCAGCCAGGAAACCACTTCATTGACCCTCCTCAGTTTAATTGCCTCCCAGTTACTGCCCCATGAGGCTGCAGATGGAGAACTGCCCTGCCTCTTCCTCCCCACCTCACCTGAGGCAACATCCCATCCTTGTCCTAGAAACATTGGCTCAAGACCCCACCTACTGCCCCACCAGTCACACTTCTTTATCTCTGATCTCCAGCATTTATATACAGTAGGCTAGGAGGGGCTGCTGAGCCCTAGCTGTGAGCACCCTGGATGTCACTGCTCTGGGCAGAACAGATAGGGTGGCCCCAGCTGGCATCCATTCACTTGAGGGACAGGGAGGGGGGGATTGCTGCCAGAGGGAACCAGGACCACAGCCTTGTACCTTTGTGGGGAAGGAGTAGGGATCCTGAGCTAAAGCAGAGGCTGCATTTCAGATCTGCCCCCACACCCTAACCTGAGAGCCAAAGCCGGAACAGTAACTGGGCAGCGGCCCCCCAGTGTCACCCAGACCTGGCAAGAGAAATGGTTTCAGGTGACGGTCCGTCCCACCCTCTGTCTGAGCACAGAGGACATGCCTTTTGAGCGCCCCCCCCCCATAACTTTTTGGTAGAAAACATATTAATGCTTGTGTATTTACCGAAAGCAGTAGTCTGAAAATTAACAGAAAGCTAGCTAGCATTGTTTACCTCTGCAGAGGGCTGAGGAACAGAGTGGGGGGAGGGGAGATTTTTATTTTCACTGTATTTAGCAACATTCTACTTTATGGAAAGTTGACGTATGCCCTTTGTATTACATAAAACTGAAGCAAAAAATAAAACATAAATGGAGTAAGACTCTAGAGGTGATAAGTGGGACCAAGAGCGGTACAAGGCAAGTGAGACAAGTTAGGAGCCCAAAGGCAATGGCCCAGAGGGCAGGAGAGTGTGGGAACCTGTCCTGAAACATTTCCTCTTCCATGTCTTCTTAGCCCCCTGACTTGAGGGTGCTGACCCCATGAATGTGATCGGCCTCAGGGGTGGAAGTGAGGGCAGGACGGGGTCAGAGTCTGCCTATTGGGACTGTCAGGGCGGGCACTGGAATTCTGGAGGAAGAGGGGATGCTCCATCACACTGACTAGTGGACAAATGGGAGAAGTCAAACAGGTCTGCGAGGCTGGAGGTCGAGAGGGTCAGATAACAGGACCGGGACCCTTGGCTCGCGTGGTCCGCTGGGGAACTCCTTCCTACGTGTCCTTCTACAGAAGCCCCTCCTCGGGAAGCCCCGCGCCTCACCCACCGGCAGTCCGCCTCTCTGAGGGTGGGACCCGAATGGGTCCTTCGGGACTCTTGGCTGAGACTGTGAGCGACTAGCGGGTACCGACTCATGAAAATAGGGCCCTACCACCAGGGGCCAGACAGGCGCCGCGCCCCGTTAATACAGCCTAACAGTCCCCGGGCAGCCCCGCCTCCGGCCGGGTGGCCGCCAATGGCCCGCGGCCGTGGCCCCTCTAGGACTGCATCCACCCTGGAGCGCCCCCTACTCAGCTGGCCCGCTCCCGAGCTCTCGAGGGAAGCTCCCCGGACTCCAGTTGTGTCCACCCTCATGCTGGGGTTTCTCATGTTCACCTGGCTGGGGCGGGAACAGGTCTGCTCACAGACACTTTCAGAACCAGCCCCGCCCCGCCCTCCCACCAGCAGGAATCGGACACCCCCTCCAAAGACCTCAGCTGGGACAAGGAACCTGCGAGTGCCAACGTCCATAGGCTCTCTGTCGCCTCTCACGGAAACAGCCCACCAGGCCGCCGCCACCAACTGGCCCGGGCAGCCGCGGGTGACAACCGCGCCTCGCCCACGCTCCTGAGCCAGGATCCGCCTCTGCTCCCGCCGGCACCGGGAAGCCCACCCACCCTCTGCACTAACCTGGCGGCCTTGGCCCAGCCCGGATTCCCACGCCCGCCGGGCTCCACTGGACTAGGACGCTTCCGGGTGTGCGCGAAGCGCAGGGGCGGTGCCCCAGCCCCAGCAGCCCAGTCAGCCCCGGCGTCCCGCCCCCAATGCTCCCAGCCGTTTCTTCCCGCCCACTGTCCTCCGCCGCCAGTCCCCAGCCCCTGGGCAAAGCCCACCTGGTCCGTTGAGCAGGTAAGACATTGGCGCCCGAGGTTAGACGGCACGAAGAACTGCCCACGGTAAAAGACTTCGGGCGCTTTCGGCTCTTACGAGCCCGGGGGGCCCCAGGGTGAGAGCTGCCCCGCTTTCTCAAGTAGGGAGCGGACGGATCAACAAAAAGGTACCCCTGGACACCAGAATTTTCTATGACGTCTGGGTGGGGAGGGTTTGAGCTCGATCTCTGGCCTCTCCAACTCCCTGACACTCAAAACGGGGTGCCGGTGGGTCCAAGTTCAAGCCTGGCCGCGGGTATCTGAAGCCCCAGGATATATGAGGTGCAAATTGCAGCAAGGGATCGTTAGCCTGGAAAATATGGGGAAATAGAAAACTGGCAAGTGGTGTGAAACGTTGTGTAGGAAAACCTTCAAGCACCCTAAAATAAAATGGGCAACTTTGAAGAGGACGCACACTTTCCAATAAAGGCCGCGCTCCGGAATGGGTCTGCAGAATCCCAGCTGAACCGAAACTGCCCAACCTGAGCCTGGACTGATCCAGAGTCAAGACTGAAACTTGAACCCAGGGCTCCTCAGGCCCCAGAACCCGAAGCTTTTCTCCGCTCAGCCGGCCTTTCTTTGGAAGCACTCGGGACGTCTCCCCAGTGAGGTGGAGGAAAGGAAGGAGCCTCCCCTCTCGGAGCAGATTCGGCAGTGCCCCACCCGCGCCCCTGCTTCCTGATTGGCTGGTGGTCCCCGCCAATTAAAAGTCTTCTCCAGTGCCCCCGCCCTATTAACCCAGTCGTCACTCTCTAGTGACTGGCTTGGCTGGGATGCGGGCTCTCAACTCGGGACCTGTGAAGTCAACTGGCACTTGTTGAAATTCAGATTCCTGGGCCCGACTTTTTCCGAAGAGCCTGATTTAGTAGGTGGGGCGGTAGAATCTGTATTGTGAACAAGTGTCCGGGTGATTCTGATACCCCCCGCCGTCTGAGAAACCCTCATTTCAATGGCCCTTGAGGCGAGGCTTGGGTCCAGTCCTAACCTGGAACTCAGAGTAGAAGTTGGGAAGAAAGCAGTTCTAGAAGATGTCTGGAAGACTAGTCTGGGTGGTCCTGGTGGCTCTGAGTGTATAGGAAGGCAGGAAGCTCTCTGAGCTGGGGGGTGGGGGGAGGAAGGGAGGACAGGATTGTCCCAAGTCACGGCAGGTGCAGCCGCCCTCCACCTTCTCCAGGGAAAACTTTAGTGGCCAGGAGAAAGATCCGATAGCATTTTCCAAATCCGGATATTCGGCTTTATCAACCTCGCACACAGGTCGTGGGTTGCCTTCCTTCTAGTATATCATAAAATGCAGATTTGTTCAACAAGTGAGAACGTAGTGTAAAGGAGAATCAGAAATCTTTCAGCAACTAGGACCGATCATGGGTCTGAGACCTGTGCAGTAAGTGGAACAGGGCCTCATGCTTGGTTTAATAATTTGCTTAAATGTTTTGCTGTCACAGTCTTGAAATTATTAATAATATTTTCAGCAAAGAGTCCCACATTTTCATTTTGCACTGGGCTCTGCAAATTTTGTAGCAAGTTCTGGGCCACAAGCCTTTCCACATATAGGCCCCGGTGGTCCCGTCAACATTTTGGCTTTCTGGAGCCCAGAGACGCCCCTCTCTCTCCAGACAAGCGCTTCTGGAAGCGGCAGAGCTCCCACCCCGCGCAGGGCCATGGCCGAGCCCGGAGAGCAACTGCCAGAGGAGGTGCTGGTGCTCATCTTTCGCTACCTGCCCCTGCGGGACCGTGTTGCTGCCGCCAGGGTCTGCAGAGCCTGGGCTGTTGCTGCCGCGTGCAGCGTCGTGTGGCGCGACACGACCATCAGGTGAGCGGGCTCCTCACTCTCCTGACGCCCTCCCACCTTCTCCCTTTCTCCATGGAATCGGGGGTTGGATTTAAAAGCATAATCATTACTGACATTTATTGACCGCCTACTATGTACCAACCGGTGTTCTAAGTACCTTACATATATTAATTTAATCCTCACGAAAACCTTACGTGGTAGATAGGTAGAATTGTCTCACAGATAGGAAATTGAGGCAGAGAGATTTAATTAGTTCCTACAGGTCACTCAGCTAAGTAGTGGCAGAGGCAGAATGGGAACCTGACAGTCTAGAGTCCCCGCCCCGCCTCCTTAGAGACCTCTGAGAAAGCTCAGTTCCTAAAATATCATTGGCTCTCCCTGCCAGGGCTTCAGCTCGAGGCAGACGCATCGTTCGTCTTCCAAAGGAATAGAGTGGGAGTTCCCTCCTAGTATCAGCGGCTATTTGGGGCAACCTGGCACGATCAGGACTGGGAGGTATATGTGTAGGGTGTCAGAAAGTGGCTATGGTAGCTGTACTCCAGGCTAAGGGATGGGCAGAGGCTTCTCGCGGCCAATGCCTTTTCTTCACGGTTCTAACCAGAAGTTGCGACTGTGAGCGAGAAGGCACGCTGCTACCATATCTGACTGCCAGCCTGGACCACGTTCACAACCTACGGCTGGAATTTGAGCCGTCGAGGGAGCCGAGCCGCCGGGCGGCCACTGAGTTGCTGACCGCACTGGCGGGCCGCACCCCGGGGCTTCGAAGCCTGCGCCTGGAGTGCCGCGGAGAAAAGCCGCTCTTCGACGCAGGCCGCGACATCCTGGACGCCGTGCACGCCGTCTGCCGGGCCGCCTGCGCGCTGCGCCACCTCGACCTTCGGCGCTTGCCTTTTACACTGGACGACGCGCTGGTGCTGCAGGCGGCACGCGGCTGCCCCGAGCTCCGCAGCCTTTTCCTGGACAACTGTACGCTGGTGGGCAGCGTGAGGCCCGACTCCGTGCTCCAGCTACTAGAAGCCTGCCCGCGCCTGCGCGCCCTCGGCCTGCACCTAGCCAGCCTGTCGGGCACTGCCCTCCAGGTGCTGGCGGCGCCGGACCGCGCGCCTTTCGCCCTCCTGGCCCTACGGTGCGCGTGCCCCGAGGACGCACGCGCGCCACCCCTGCCCGAGGAAGCCTGGGCCGCGGTGCGCCGCCGCCACCCAGGACTGGCCGTGGAGCTGGAGCTGGAGCCAGCGCTGCCTGCAGAGAGCGTGACGCGCGTCCTGCAGCCTGCCGTGCCGGTGGCTGCGCTACGCCTCAGCCTCTCTGGGGACACGGTAGGCCCGGTGTGCTTTGCAGCGCGCCACTACGCCGCAACCCTGCGCGCGCTCGAGGTGCGCGCCGCTGCCTCAGCTGAGCTGGACGCCGCGCTAGAGTTGCTGGCGGCGCGCTGCGCGGGCCTGCGTGAAGTACACTGCTTCTGCGTGGTACGACCCTCTGTGCTGCACGCCTTCCGCACGCAGTGTCCGCGCCTGCGCAGCTACACGCTCAAACTAACGCGGGAGCCGCATCCCTGGCTGCCCACGCCTCTGGCGTGACGGGGTAGTCGCCTCTTTGGCAGACATGTGGCCTCTAAGATGCTGGATGCATTTGCCCCGGCGTGCGCCAACGGCTAGCCCGCTCCTTCGGGACTCTGTTGCGTCTTGTGCCTCTGGAAGATTAGGGCCTGTGGGATAGGGATAGTGTCGGGGACCATCTCAGGGAGTCCTGAGTCCACCGGGTGGATCTCCGTAATGGGATCATCCTCCCCCCAACTCCACTCCTCTGCGGACGCTACGCTAGCTCCGCGGCCCTGGCGTGGGAGGGGGGAGAGGGGGGAGGGAGGACACTGGCTCAGGTGGCGAGTCAGGTGTGAGTGTGAAATAAAGAAATCCTGCAGCAACACTGCGTCCTCTGGAAGGCGGGGCGGCTCTGAATGGGGAGGTCGGGGAACCCTCAGAGGCCCAAGGACCCGACGGGGCCGGCGTGGGAGAGATCAGTTGACCGATGCGGCTGCGGAGGTCAGGGGCGGGGCACTCCGCATCCTTGGAATGACAACGCCCCAGAGTTCTGCGGAAGAGTGCCAGCTTCTCCCCTCCGCACCCGCTCTCCACACCCCTCGCTCCCATCTGCCCTCTCCATCCAGGCAATGGCCATCGCCTTCTAGGACGTTACCAGCCCACACCGGGCCGCGCACGGGTGATTGCTCCCGAAGAGCAAAGGAGGAAACGGCCTGAGAAGGGTGGAACTCGAACCCGGGTCTCCCTCCCCACCGCACCCCTCCACGCACATTCGATCCCAGCCTTCCCTTTCAGTCCGCTGTTGCTGCGGCCGCGGTCTGAGCCCCGCCCCGCGGGTTCGCACGTGGCACCCACCTGACCCGGCTCCCGGAGGCGGAGTAGGGCGGGGCGGGCGGCAAACGCAGCACTTTCCACGGCTTCCACAAGCCCCGCGGCGCCGGGCCCGAGCGCTTAGCCGGGCCGAGACCGCGCCATGCAGGAAGCGCCAGCCGCGCTGCCCACGGAGCCGGGCCCCAGCTCCGTGCCAGCCTTCCTCGGCAAGCTATGGGCGCTGGTGGGCGACCCGGGGACCGACCACCTGATCCGCTGGAGCCCGGTGAGGGCTGGGGCCCCTCGACTTCCCCAGTGGTCCCCGGGACCCTTCCACGTCAGTGAACATCCACGCCCACCCAACCCCCGCCTGGGACGGGGCTGTGGGTCCCTCGATTCAGCTGTCCAGTGTAGTTTACCTTGGAGGGGGGGTGCGCGAGATGGAGGTGAGGCGACTTCCTCCGGACCGAGGAAAGGGTAGGAGTCTTCTGGAGACCTAGAGCCTGAGGGATCTTCTAGGTTATTTAGTTCCCATCCCACCCCAACAGACAGATAGGAAAACAAGAGACCTGGAGAAGGGAAGGGTTGGGTCTGGTTCTAGCTCAGAGTGGCATTTGGGGTCTGGGACCCGTCCAGGGCTGGGACTCAAGTCTGGTTTCTGCTCTTTCTTTCCGAGAACCGAGTACGGAGTCTGGGTCGGGCTAGGGTAGGGATTCACTGTGGCCGCCCCAGGCTAGGCCTCGGAGCCGGTTCTGACCTGGCCTTGCCCCATGTCTCCATGAGCGGCAGGCCGGGTCCCCAGAGCGCGGGCCTGGCCGTGGGCGGGCACAGCTCACTGTGTCGTCCGGTCTCCGCCCGCACGGTGGGTGGGCGGGCGGCGTTCTTGGCAGAGCGGGACCAGTTTCCTCGTAAGCGACCAGAGCCGCTTCGCCAAGGAAGTGCTGCCCCAATACTTCAAGCACAGCAACATGGCGAGCTTTGTGCGGCAGCTCAACATGTGTGAGTCCCTAGGACCGGGGCGGGAAGTGGGTGCGAGTATCTTGGTGCGCGGGGATGGGGCAATTTACGCCCCCACGCTCCCCCTCCCCAGACGGTTTTCGGAAGGTGGTGAGCATCGAGCAGGGCGGCCTGCTCAGGCCGGAGCGCGACCACGTCGAGTTCCAGCACCCGAGCTTCGTACGCGGCCGAGAACAGCTACTGGAACGTGTGCGGCGCAAGGTGGGGGCGGCCTTCAGGAACTGGCAAACCCGGGTGGAGGTGTCGAGACGGCTGGCCCTTCCTAGATGACTCTGAACTGATGGTGCCTCCCCCCTGCAGGTGCCTGCGCTGCGCACCGACGACGGCCGCTGGCGCCCCGAGGACTTGGGCCGGCTGCTGGGCGAGGTGCAGGCTTTGCGGGGAGTGCAGGAGAGCACCGAGGCGCGGCTGCGGGAACTCAGGCAGTGCGGGGGAGGGGGCGTAGGAGGGTGGGGAGGGAGAGGGGGAGTCTGGGCGAGAGGACACTGGCCGCCAGGCACTCCTTCTGGACAGCTCCTTCTTCGCTCATGTCTTGGTGCCTCCATCCAGACAAATGGGCTGAGTTGTGGAACTCTGTTCTGCGTGGATGGACGCTCATCAGAGTGGTCGTGGGTTTAGACCTGCCGTTCTGTGGGGGGTGGTGACTGGGCGGACTCTCAGATGCCTCAGCACCCTCCCACGCCTTCCCCGCAGGCAGAACGAGATCTTATGGAGGGAGGTGGTGACTCTGCGGCAGAGCCACGGTCAGCAGCACCGGGTCATTGGCAAGGTGTTCCTCTCCCCCTACCCCCCTTCTCTCTACCACTCCTGAACACACCCACCTCCTCCGCCCAAGGCGGCAAATCCACCTGGAAGTTTGTTGGGTGGGCACAAGGTCTAAAATATGAATTAACACTTTGCTTCCTCTTTAGCTGATCCAGTGCCTCTTTGGGCCACTTCAGACAGGGTCCAGCAGCGCAGGAGCTAAGAGAAAGCTGTGAGTGAGAAAGTCAGGGATGTCCACCCTCACTCCCCCGCCACACACACACACTTTCAGGAGCCTCCCTCCCAGAGGCCCCATGCAGGGACTCCTCCTCCAGAAGCCTTCTCCCTCACCAGGAATCCTCATTCTTCTTCCCTGCACTATAGTTTTCCTCAACCCATGGCAATCTCCCCAAGGTCCCTACTCCACAACTTTCCCTCTCTCCCCTCAATTCTACCACCAAATACCCCATTCCCAGATCCCTGTGTTCCAGGACCTTAGCCCCAAATTTCCCCTCCAGCAGCCCCTTCCCCCTCACCCCAAACCATCCCAACAGCAGAGGGTCTGGGGCTCAAACCATGCTCTCTCCCTCCCCTCTCCATCCCCAAAGGGCCCCCATTTCTGGGGGGAGCCCCTTCTGCCTCCAGCATGTGACTGATACCCTGGCAACAGGCCTCAGCTCTGCTGACTTGGCTGCTGGGGCCTGAGGGAGGGAGGTGCAGGCTGAGAGGCATGGGGGATGAACCTGCCCTGCCCCCTGCACAGGTCTCTGATGCTGGATGAGGGGGGCTCGTGCCCAACACCGGCCAAATTCAATGCCTGTCCTCTACCTGGTGCCCTCGTGCAGGACCCCTACTTTATCCAGTCGGTAGGTTTTTGCTCATCCTCCCTTCCCTAGGGCACAAATAGGCTTATGGAGAGCCTAGTCCTTTCCCCCATTCCCCAACAGGAAGAGAAGGTGGAGGCTAGCCTTCCCCCGCCCCAAGACCCAGGCTCCCCAGCACAGACTGAGCCTTCCCCCTCAAATCTTACTCCTTAGACCTGGTCCATGTGGGTACTGGTTGGGTTTTGTCTCACCCTGTTGCTTGAGAGAAAGGACTGGGCTTAGTCTTCTACTTACAGCCCCTCCCAGAGACCACCTTGGGCCTCAGCAGCTCTCACAGGGCCAGGGGCCCTATCATCTCTGACATCCACGAAGACTCTCCATCCCCTGATGGGACCAGGCTTTCTCCTTCCAGCAGCAGCAGCAGGAGGTAAGACAGACTGGGCTGCCCTCTGGGGAGCTTGTGGGGGAGGGCCTGGCAGCCCAGATAACTGTGGGGGTAGGGGGGGAGGTCAGTGCCAGGGTCTGGTTGAAGCTTTTCTCTGGTGCAGGGAGAAGGGCCTGGCACTGCTCAAAGAAGAGCCGGCCAGCCCAGGGGGGGAAGGCGAGGCCGGGCTGGCCCTGGCCCCAAACGAGTGTGACTTCTGCGTGACAGCCCCCCCGCCACTGCCGGTGGCTGTGGTGCAGGCCATCCTGGAAGGGAAAGGGAACTTCAGCCCCGAGGGGCCCAGGAATGCCCAACAGCCTGAACCAAGGGGTCCCAGGGAGCTACCTGACAGGTAAGCAGAGTCCATTCTTGACTGTGAGCCCTGTGGGTCACTTTTGCAGATAGACCACTGCTAACTAACTTCCCAGCCTTGCCTGCCCATTGTGGCTGAGAGGAAGATCAGGCAGTATGATCTGACCAGATTTCTCAGTTGTCTAAAGAGTACCAGCATCAGAGTGCCCTGGAAAGTAGAAACTCCCATCAGGTCAATCAGTCTATCTAGGGTAGAGCCCCGGAATCTGTATTGTAACGGAGTTCATTTCGGTGACTGGAAACATTGTAAAGTACACAGTAATTTAAGAACCAGTGGTGTTGACAATTCCAAAGCAAAGGGACATATCCCAAGATCCCAGTTCCATAATCCAAACCTCAGGTCGAAGCTAGGAAGCAGAGGCGTTCTTTAAGCACCCTCTGTGTGGGGTATCCTCTCCTACCATTTCGTAGATGTCTGATTTTGATCCTGATGTATCCAGGTTCCTTAGGAACCTGACGGGGGGGGGGGGGGGGGAGACACTGCAGGCCAACAGCTGTTCTCTGTGTGCAGGGGAACTCTGGGCCTGGAGAGGGGGCGGCGGAGCCCAGAGCATCTGCTACCTCCCATGCTGCTTCGGGCCCCCCCTGAAAGTGTGGAGCCTGCAGGGCCCCTGGATGTGAGTACACCTTCAGCGGGGCAGAGGCATGGGGCGAGGGGTGGGGCCCTCGGTGGGGTCTGTTTAGCCGAGGGGAGGGCGCCACTGACTGAGTGCTTCCCCCAGGTGCTGGGCCCCAGCCACCAAGGGCGAGAATGGACCCTGATGGACTTGGACATGGAGTTGTCCTTGGTAAGATGAAGGTGCAGGAGGGCAGAGGGTTAGAGTTACTGAACCAAGCCCTCAGCCAGA